TTTTGAACCATACGATACATCGAACCACTGAATCGAATACGATCTATTAAGGTATACCCTGATAATCGATCCTTTTCCAAAGGTTTAAAAATGACAGATCGATCGATCCCTGGCAAAACGCGCCGCACCACCACTGCTGAAAATGGGCATTTACCGTCGACGTTGAGAGGCGGAGGAACCGCACACACGCACCCCCTTGCCTGAAAAATGAGTTAAAGCTCACCTCAAAATTTCCAGCACAAAGGGCGCATTGTCGCTGAAATATTGATGTCGGTACTCGCTGAAATCAAATTAAAAATAGCGATGGGTTCGCCGGACACTCCGTCAATACGGAATTAGAGGGGGCGTTGCACAGTCGTCGCAAAGTCGAAGGGACGTTGTCGGATGGTTCTGAAACTTCGATTGTAATTCATGGGTGCCAAAGGGTTGATAAAACCAGAAAATGGAGGAAAGTCGGGGTGAAACTTGCCCCCAAATTTCAAGGAAAATAAAGGCAAATCGGAGAAATGATTCCGCCTTAAATTGCGTAGAAAATTAGACAAAAGTCGTAAAAGTCTTGGAGGAAGACCCCAAAAATTAAAGGGGAAAATCGGGAAACGGCAGAATATAGTCCAAACTAAAAAATGCACCCCTAAATAGCTTGCCAATACTTTTTATCAAAGTCCAGTGTCGTGGTGTGCTCATCGATGTATCGATCGGTCTGTCATTTAAACCTATTGAAAGGGATCGATAAACAGGGTGTTCGCAACGAACGCCTTAATAATCGATACTTTACTATAGCTTCAAATGGGGAAATATTGACCATTCGCGCTTCGCTACTAGAAGTCGGGTCATTTTTATCAAAATTATAACTTAAGAAAGCCCCCCCTCCTTATCAATTTTAATGGTTGAAATCTTTTTGTCACGTCGTCGTTCCTCTAATGTGCTGGTTACACGCTCAAATTTCCATCAATTTCCGATCAAATGGTAACTGGTGCGCACCATCTACCCATCAAATTTCTGCGGCCTGCAAAAATTTGATGGCAGATGATGGAGCTGTGGGGCTCATCCTTCATCTGATTTCCACACAACCGTGCTTATTTCGTACTTATTTCAATCAACACGCTGTTTTAATTAATTTCACTCATCAATCTAGGTAACTCTCGACCGCCATCTTAGTCATCATTTTTTGATTGGAATTTGACGGAAATTTGAGCATGTAACCAGGCCATAACGTAATGATGTAACTCAATTTCCACGTGAGCTCTGTTCTCTGTGTAACTCTATGCTCACGGGGCCTCACGTGTAAACTGAGGTACGCCCTTACGTCAGAAGGGCGACGGCCTGTGGCGGGGTGAAAAAATGACGCAAGTAACAAAAAAACGGAACACGCAGATGCTAACTTAATGTACATGAGAGTGCGAAAAAAGGCTACAAACTGCGTAATGATGCTGGAACGTCTACGAATTAGTGGTTTTTAATCAAGCACTAAGCCAAAAATAAAACTCATTTCTAGAGTCTACAGAAAATGACGCAGAAGGATCACTGCGTAAATTTGCGGGGAAAAAAGTGACGTGACTTGATTTTCGAGCGCAGTCTGATACGAGAGTCATGAGGTGTACGGTCGAGTTTGTTAGAAATGTGACAGTTTACCTTTTGTTTATGTCGCTGCAGGAAGCTCATGCACTCACAAATATCAATCAGGTTCGTGGTGCACGTTTTGAATTTTCATCATCGAGGATTTTAATGTCATTCAAATTCGCGCGAGATTACAGAAAAATTATCGTTTTGTAGCGTCGCACGGTTGATTGAGTCAATAGGAGAGAGCGGACAAAATTCTGAAACTTTAGAAGCTTATAACTCCGTTTTTACAGAATTTTGAAGTCGACAAAATGGTCCCATTGGCTTTCTCGTAAAATTTTCAGTTTGAATCAACCCTCAATATTTAAAATTTGACGAATTAAACTTCTAAATTTGCAGTTTTAGTAAAAAAATATAATGTAAGACCTCTTCCATTGATCCAGTCCACTGTGCGTCGAGCCAAATGCCAAGTCACAGGATTGAAATGTACGAATGAGCTTCCATCAAAATGAGTGGCAGGTCTGTAGATATAGAAGTCGGCTGCTGGATATAGTCTTTCAACATTATTTTGAGGTGTCTGCCGAAAGTGTTCCTGGGAGCCACCGCTCACGTCAAATTTCATTGAAAATTCGAAAAAAAATCTGTGGAAAATGCAAGAAACATTCGCACGTAACACAGATCACAGACGGCAATTTTTGAGGTATTTGAATGGTCTTCAGGATAAAGTCCGTATTTTCCTATCCATGAACTTTTGGACCATAGCTCTGAATTTTTGAGAAGACAGAGTCTCATTTTCCCTAATTGTGATTGAGAAATATGGATGGCGAGAAAATAAATATAGAGAAGTTGAAATCCTCTATGCTCATACTAGCAACGGTAGAAGTGACCATAGCTCGAAGAAATAGAGAAAAGTCCAGAATAAAAAATAGAATGGCTCATGAGTCAGGGAAACTTACGTCGACGAAAATGACAAATGCCTACATAACTTTTTTTTAAGCCGATAGGCAGGCGCTTCTTGTTTTTGTTTTGCCACTTGAGTTCTTCTATAGAAGAGCGCTCAAGCGATTGAATGGCTCACCAGTTCAACAAAACATGACCGACGAGATTCTCAGAATTTTCTTTCTACTAGCTAATAATACCCCCTTCGGCGTTATTAAATATAAATTAGCGGATGAAGTAAGTAGAATTTCCAAAATTTTCTTTGCTGGGAAGTTTATAGTTATTTCATTATTACGTCCGAAAGTTGAGGTATCGAGTTCTTTTCGTCCGAACTTTTTGCCATCGGTGATGACTTTATTTGAACCTGTTAAAATTCGCCTTCAAATGACACAGCTGTTGCGTTACCATTACGATAGAAATGCAGCTTTTGAGCCGCGTCTTTTCCTTAAAATCCTGTCCTTCTGCTTTGTGTATCGTACTTTCCCCCAAAAAATCTAACCGATGTGCGCTTCTCTGATTTTGACGTATTAGAGCTTTCCCGCTTGACTTTAGTTCTCGCACTAATACATACAGAAAGGCTTCGGCTTGAAATGTTACTTTTAACTTTAAAACATAACCGCAAACATTTTTATTTGTTTATTTCTGGCTAAATATGTCAAATTCTATAATAATCCTAAATTTGTTTTTAAAAAAATGATGACTTGGTTCCCCTCTCCTGAATGGAAAGATAGCCCAATAATCAAAGAGGACAACCGAGTGCGCAGTTGGTTCCTTTTTAGCTTTCCTATTGGTGAAGTTAATTTAGAGAAAGAAATCAACTACATTAGGGTGGTAATGGGTCAAGTTTTGATGGTTTAAATTTAAAAAGTAAATAAGAAGTTTTTAAACGCCAATTTTCTACGTTCAGTTCAAATGAGATAATGTCCGTCGAAAAACACGATGTATGACGTCATGCACCGCGATAAGACATATCATAGTTTCTTTCGCATTGTGCCTGTGACACACGCATTTTCACTGGTTTTACTCTCCCTTTGCCAAGGCGGATGACGTCACATGCCATGTTTTTCGCCGGTACATATCTATTTTAATATCGGGAGTAGAAATTTGGGGTTTCAAACGATCTTGTCAATTTCTGTCAATTGGTAAGCTTAAACCACCAAAACATGATTTTTTGACTATTTCAACTGACCCTTGAAGCTCTTCCAAGCTCCTGAAGAGTTTTTCAGAGTTTTCCAGTTTTCTGGATTTTTAACGCACGTCGGCTAGAAAAAAATCCAATTTACTGTCTTGAAAGAGTCTTGCTGTGCTAAGAAAAAACGCCGTATGAACATCCAGGTGCTGCCAAACTTCCCGCGGTAAAATATTTATCATAAAGGAAACGTACACATACTTTTTCTTGAAATCTTCCGATACTTTCGATCAAATTACGAATGAAACTCTTCGAAAAATTGGGAAAAATATATTCTCAAAGTGTTTTATCAAAAGAAATTTGGTAACTTCCGGAGGCTTACACGGCGTTCTTTCCTTGCACACGAGATCACACGCACTGTCTGCCTAAAAACTCTGTTATTTTTTGGCGAACTCAAAAGCTAATAAAACCGTACCATCAATTTATGAAGGTCAAGTGCTGTGATTGGTCCAAGTCATCGAATAAGCCAATCACAACACTTGACCTTGATATTTCGATAGCTAGGTTTGACCGTGTGAGCTCATCCAACCGCTTTATCGGAATAGGTCAGTTGCGCTGGTTACAGAATCATGTTTTAATGCCTGATTCTTCTAGATTAGCTGAAAGTAATAAGATCTGTCCAAACCGCAACTTACTGCGTTCAATATTAACCGAGATACTGCCCTTTGAAAAAGTTGGGTGTTTGACGTCATCCACCGCGGCAGTGACATCCTTGGTTTCTTCCAGTCTCTTTCTTGAGTTTGCTCACATTTAACGTCGTTGAAGTGCCGCGTTGCACCCTCTGGATCGAACGAAAGATGAGGAAACCAAGGGTGTCACCGCCGCGGTGGATGACGTCAAAAACCTGACTTTTCAAAGGGCGATATCCCGGTCAATACTGAACGTAGAAAGTTGCGATTCGGACAGATCTTATTATTTTTCGCTAATCTACAATAATCAGGCATCAAAATACGATTTTGTGACCAGCGTAACTAACCAGGGTGTCTACAAGTCCGAAATTTCCGGAAATAGTACTGATTTTTTACGGGCGGTCCGGAAGTACTGAAGAAGTGCAGACATTACGCAACAAGGTCCGGAATTGTTTTCAGTTTCTTGTCATTTTCGTCGCTATTTGAGCCAGAAATACAAATTTTTGAAATTTGTCGAATTTCGTCAAATTGAGGTACCGAAGAAGTACTGAATTTTTCTGTCGGAGGAGGCACTGAATACCTATCTTGAGAATGTGCTGAACAAGTACTGTAAAAGTATTTATTTTTGACCAGCCTGTTTTAGTAGCCACCCTGCTGACCCATTATGTTGAATTGTCCACTAGCCGCCCCCGCACCTCGATAGAATGTACTTCTGGACTCAGGCGAAGCGAGATCCGTGCGGCGGGTTCATGGGATGCTGGAGAGACGGGTTCAAAGAGGAAGCGAACAGAATGTGCAGACAGGCCCAAGAGAGCTACCATCGCATCCCGACAGCGGAAAGGAGTCGATCACGGTGTCGGGTCGCGGAAAAAGCCGAGTGCCAACCCAAGTACTGCGGGTCCATCGGCGTTTGCATGTTCTACTGCATCACCGACAGTGATGGCGGCCGTCAATGGATGTCCATCCGGAAGGTCGCCGGCTTCGGACATTGAAAATAACGCCACTTTTTGGAAGTACCTTCAACCGTTCGTCAGATTTTGTTTCCCGTATGTGTGAAACAGCTCCTGTAAAATATTAATCATCAAATGAGTGGCGTATTGCAGTGAAGAGAAAGTGAAATGAAATGAAACGAAACGTAAAGACCCAACAACGCAAACCAAGCACGCTAAAACCGCCCTCATTTCGGGACGATACAGCACGCGCACACCGATGCTCGAATAGTTGCTCGTTGTGTTTATGTCAGAGCCGTGTTATTATTTTCGAGCACGCAACGTACTATCTCTGGATTCTTATATAAATATTAATTTCCCAAACATTGGTTTTTGCGTGTTATTTGATTCTCGACTTCAATACTGTGTGTTGCGTTTTTCGTCATGACGAAATGAGCGAAGACGTGATTTTTACGTACAATACTTTTGTTATGAGAGAAATAAAATAGAGGTAGTAACCGCAGCAATCAGGTCTGCTTGGAGAGAGATATACAAGGAAGCGAATGTAAATAAACTGAAACAATCTCGCAAACTGTAGCATACTTTATTCCAATTGTTTCAAAGCATTTGACTTTGCAACGCAAAGAAATTAGGAGAAAGCAAACGTGTAAAAGCTATTGGAATCATACGTGCGAAACAGTTTGGTTACAGAACTACTGAAGGTACAGTTACTGAAACAGATATTTGATTAATTTAGGTCAGGTTTTCTTACATCTCATCAAGCAACCTGATTGCCAGTTGCCAAGAAGGAGCTTAATAAGATGTCGCGTTTCAACCCCCTTTTTCTATATTCAGAATATTAGAGATGTTGCCAAAGAATTATGAAATGAAGTTAATTCGTTTAGTGTCAACCTTATAGGTATTTAAAAATAACAATTTTGTATAATTTGAAAAATGCCTTACTTAATAAAAAGCACCCTCGAACGCGGTAAATTTGAAAATGCGTAGTAAGGAGCACGCAAAGTCTGCATCAACGAGAAGATTTCAGACATTCTCGATACGCACCGAGTGTTTTTTTTTTTTTTTTTTTTTTTGGAATTTCACCTTTTAAAAGTTTACTCAGTCTGTTGTATCTCCCGTGCACAATAGACCTTTTGCGTTTGCACCACTCAAAAGCCCTTCCCTTCCCCCCTTGAAGTCGCCCCGCAGAAAATGTCGACCAATAGGTGGCACAAGAAAGCGGGGGTGGGCGGGAGGAAGGCCGCAGAGAGTTTAATTAAACCTTGAGGATGTATTAAATAAATCAGGGGAGAAAACTTGAACACGTGTTCTGCGTTTCCGCCCGGTCGAACAATGGACAATCGACTATCGATCTGTCCTTATTCGAAGCTATGGTAAAGAATCGATTGTTTGGGTAAATCTAGATTATCGACCCTTTTCTATAGGTTTAAGAGGCAGATCCGTCGATTTATCGCAAAGCACGACCCGCTATACGGCCGGTAGAAGCAGTTTCCTTCCCGGAAACCGCTCGTAAAAAACAGGGATCCCAAGCGACAGGTGAGTCGGCAGCGGAGGGCATTTTGCTAATCAGGGATCCACCTCCACCCCCTTCTCATCGGAAACTCCCTCTCGTTGCTCCTGTGCCTGCGGTTCGATTGTTGAATCGTTATCGAATGACTTCGATCGATAATTGGACGTATTTCTATCAAACGGAACTATGTGCATTTTGACATGAGCCCGGTTCCGCACACATTCTTATGGGCCTTAGGGCTCATGTCTTAGTGCACATAGTTCCGTTTTGTAGAAATACGTCCAAATAACATTTCTAATAAAGGGATTTATCGATCAGATTTATTCGATCATGATTCAACAATCTACTCGCTGGCTATTCAAGTGCCACGAACTCAGAGTCACTCTTTTTCTCAGGAGGAACCTTAAAATTTTCGCTTGGATTCATCATCAAACTTATCACTAAAGCAATAGAGACTTCAACATAAACCCTTAAGAAGAACATATAACTTATCAGGAGGCACATGCCTTTTTGGCTGCTACGGGCCCAACTCCCAGAGGACGCTCCCTCAGCGAGCCGCTTTTTGGACCATTTTTTAAAAATTTAGACGAAGCGGACCTATTTAAATGGTATTGACATCGTTGGTATGCGACATCAGTCAAGCGGAATCTTGTATTTTCTCTCTGGAAATACACTAAAATTAATACGGAAAAATGAGAATACAACCTACCCAGCTGAGATTTAATGGGAACTGAAAACGGAGCACAGATAGGCACTTTCGGAAAGCAGGGCTCCATGAACCGAGAAATGTCATTCGGGAAATAAAGATTGTGTTCCGGAATCTGCACGTCTAGCATCTTCGAAAAAGGTTTATGATGTTGGCGACAGTATTGGTCTGGCTCAAAAATTCTTACGGTACTGATACGTTTTCAGGGCCTTTTCTCTCGAGTGGAGTCCCCCTAACTAGGAAAAAGTCCTCCTTTATGTGGGTTTTTTTAAATATTGGGGGCCCCTATGGGAGTCCTGCTGGGGTTCTCTGGGCCACCCGTCAGAATTTCTCACCCTACCACCCTTGGCCAGACCGCCCTTGGTCAGCGAGCAGACATGTTTGCTGTTGATATTTTCCGAAAATCGTGTGTTTCGAAAAAACTGTGAATTGTTGAAATACGTCTAGATAACTCACATTAAGTACATTTGGATTGCATTTTGCAAAAAGGAACCAGGAGCATTGCCATTTTGCTATAAGATTGTGAAACTCCTTTCATCGCAACAAAACTACCGTAATCATGCAAATATATGGAATTTACATTGTAGTTTTTGTATTAAAACAGTTTATAGCATGTAAAATAGAAAGTGCTAATAGAAAATCAGGTTTTTTTGTAAGACAAAAGAAGTGGCACAATTTCAACAACATTGCAATGCTCTTGACTCCTGTTCGCTAAATGCAATCCATTTCCTGTACTTCGAATGCCTGATTGTACCCACCTACTTTACGGAATGAAAGAACTTGAAATTACCACCACCATATTTTTCCCCTCCTTCCGGTTCCATAAACCGAACAACACGACCCGTAGGTACGTAACATATAGTATGGAACTACGAACCATACTACCAAAATTTTCCTCTTTGTGTAAATTCGCGTTTTGGCCGTAAACATGTTGAGCTTGGATACAGTTTTTGGGGCGAAGCAAATCCCGCACGAGGAACGGGAGGAGCGAGACGGAAAGCGTTACAAGAGTCGGAATCGACAGGAATCACGTCCTGGAAAGCGTCTCGTAAGTTTAAGCCGGAGGCTCCGCGGGTCCAGGATCGTGATTTGAATAAATCCCACCTGCGGAAACCCACAAAATGATGACGTTCTGGCATTTGAACAGTCGCCAAATCTGGAGAAAAATCACGACCGGATAACCCTTTGATCACTCGAGAAGATAAAATAAGCCACGACGCCAGGAAAATAATGATAAGGCATTCCCTATGATACCGCGCTAACGAAAAACGGCGTATGAGTATTTAGAAATTCCCAGATTTACTTCGATGAAAACGGAATTTTTTTAGAACATTGCGCATATTTTTCCTCAAGTCTTTCAGATAATTTTCTTCGCAATTTGATCTAAAATATCTGAAAATTTCAAGGAGAAATATTAATATTTATCCTCCAAAATACATGTTTTATCTGGGTAAATTTGGCAACTCTCGAATGTTCATACGGCGTTTTTCCGTAGCATGGCAGTATGTGGAGCGTGATCATGCAGTCTGATAGGATGTTGAAACCTTTAGCTGTCGAGGTCAAACTAGTTTTAGTGAAAAACTAAGATTTTCAGAAAGTAAGAGGTCTGCGTGAAGGAGACTCAATTCGTTGCCCCTCTGACGTAAGGGCGTATCTCGATTCCTACATGAGCAGGTAAATATAAAAAGCCATGCTTTCTGGGGCTCATGCGGGAATCGAGATACGCCCTTACGTCAGAGGAGCGACGAATTGACTGCTCCTTTTATTTCTCAAAAAGGAAATTTTGAGTTCCAGTTTTTTTTTATTTTAATAAACTGGAAGAAGGTTTTTGTATATCGTCTGTTTCCTGACGGAGGAATGAAGCTCAGTTCTTAAGATGCAAAAATGACTATAATTTTGATTTATTAGAAAAATATGACTCAGAAATTTCGTAGAAAATTTTCCCACTTTTTGCGCTTGGAAGACAAATTAAAGAAATTTTGAATTAGAACTCTCAAAAATTTTCTAGGAAATAAATAGTTTGAGAGTGATAAACTTGCAACGATGATATGTAGTTTTGTTAAATTCTTCTTTTTGAGAATCGACGGTATTTGACGAATAGAGTCGAATGTGCAGGATCAACCTCTCTTCATTTAATTTTTTTATAAGTTGGTTTTCCTCATTGGAATGCAAACAAGTGTTCCGATGCAGCCTCATCGGAGGGCGCACTATGTTATAGCCAATTATTTGTTTGTGCTCAAGTATTTTTACTTGATTACATCGAGGATAGGAATTCGAAATTTTCCGTATTACGCCATTCAAGTTTGAGTGCAAGCAGAGGTTGCCGTAAGACCTCTTCAATACCATTCGAATTAAATTCTATTCACCGTGTGGATGAAACGATTTGACGCCGATTATTGATCCCCCTAAAAGTATCGGTCACTACCCTAATAAGAATCATCCCTTCAATGCATTACTCAACTGAGATTATTTTTGATTTTCATGTTTACAGTCTGGGGATTTTCTTTCTGATCTGACGACGACGCCAATACCTGCGTCGGGAACGAAAGATATTACACGCGACTCTCTACGTGGTCGGAGTGTGAAATTTTCCCCCCTTGCTTCCAAGAAGTGAGGTTCTAATGATTCGCAGCCTGTAGCAATATGCCAGGCTTCGTCTTATCCAATTTTGAGTTTCGATGACACTTCTGGTGCCGGGAAATGAATTTACTTTCATACGTAAATATTTCATGGGCTGAACAATCATCTTATTACATGTTTCGTGTAGTTTTTCTTAGTTCTTTCAAGCGTATTCTCCGTTCTCCTCATAGAAATCTTTGACATAAAATGTCCTCGTGAATAAATGAAGTATGAGCGAAACATTATAATTACTTAATACGAGCATAAAAACCAACCTGTTTTTCTAACACCGTCGATAATGCTCTGTAAATCATCCAATTATGTTACGTGCGTGTTNTGGATCCAATAAACGTGTTCAGGTCATCATACCTTATAGGTATTTATTTATTTTTTTTTTGTGAAAAAAGTTGGGGTGTTTGGTATATTGCATGGGCATGAAAGAGAAAATTGGGCCGTTTTGATATCATTTCCTTTTATATGATGAATCCAAACGGTACTGCCATCATATTTTTGGGTGCCTGGTTTTTTTTTTTGTTTTTTGTTTTTGGTAATTAGTGACATTTTTTGGATTGGGCCGAAATTTTGTACAAAAATCACATTTTTGTTTTTTTGGAAGGATTTTAATCTACGAGAAGAACGTTAGTATTGGACCTTTGACTTCATTTTGCAACTAGGAACGATATTTTCTGCCTCATTATAGAAACAACATATGTGCCGTTGATTCACCTTTGCAAATAGGTGTTTTTAGGTATTAGCCAAAAAATGTAGTTCTTTATTGCAAAATGCAGTCAATTTATTTTTGGATTTAAACGAGAGCGTTTAGCAATAGGACCAGATTTCGCAATCAGGAACTACGTTTTATGGCTAAGTTTGAAAACAAAGTCCTCACTATTAAAATCCCATGCACTTAAGTGTTTTTACGAATGAGCCAGAAGTTGCAGCTTCTAATAACAAAATACAGTCCAATTATGTCTGACAACCCTGCCTACAATGGCACTGGTGGGATATCAAGATAGGTTGTTTTTAAAATATCCTGGTCACATCCGCAACAGCTGGAATATTTGTTTTTTGGAACAAATATGCTGAAAACGTTTCAGCATTGGATGTTGGTGTCGAACGATATGAATGTCGGGCAACGAAGAAAAGTGACACAGAAAGTTGCGTCTAGAAAGCGCCTGCGGCAAGACAATGACATCGATTCACAACGTTAATAGCGTTGGTTTTTCAAGTTTCAAAACTCCGAGAATCAACTCGTGGTGGAATCAACTACTTCCGTCTTAACCCTCCTCCGCTAAGAGGAACGCCGTAAAAGCCTTCGGGCATCACCATATTTGTTCGATAAACTATGGATTTCCGGGGTAACTTGTGAGTATTATTCTTCCAGTTATTCAGAGAATTTAGACAACTTACCCCGAAGCATCAAAAAAGTTAGAAGAAGAATCGTCATAACGTTTCTTTAAAATAAATAATTTATCGGGGAAAATTTGGCAAATTTCAAATTTTCATAAGGTCTTTTTCCGTAGCACAGGAGTATCTGTCTTGATGTATGCACGGTTACGTCTTTTACTTCGAAAGGAGCGGATACCTAGAAATTTTACAGAGGCATTTTAAAAACCCGGACTTTCAACATTTGTTTAAAATAAAGTTGAAAACTTCATTTCAACTCAAAATGTCATTTTAGGCTCTTCGTAACACTGATATACATATGAAAATTACTTATCATTTTGCATTCGACGTATGCAGCGCAAACAGCACTCTAAGTCAACTCATCAAGACTCATCTCTTCGTATGTCGCGGTTGGACTCGTATAAAACGCCTTCAAATGCGCGTGATACTGTGCAACACACCGAAGTTAAAATAGTTGTATTCTTAGGTTTGAACCTAACTCAAGTTCATTGCTCTGCCGAGCGCGGTCTGTTTACCAATTAACTGCAGTTATTTCATGATACCTCGTATATTTTATGCCCATTATTTACCCGTCATGAGAATTCAAGTTCCAATTGATTTATAAAAAATGAATCGGTACTTAGATTTAAGAAGAATTACCCATCATTATTAACGTGGCCAAAAAAGAGGCTCACCTCAAGGAAACTCCGTTATTGATAAAGTTTTGAGCGCGCCTGTGATTTACCGGGGGTGGGGGGGAGTAATTTCTGAGCGGAAACTCGAATTTCTAGTCAAAGTTTCAGATTTGAAAATTCAAGATTGCGGATTTTACCGAATATGCTATCTCGCTCCTGTTCGATCGATTTTTGTGAAATTCGGCATCGATGGATGTTTTTTGACGGGTAACTCGAATTCTTAGTCGAATTTTCATAAGTCTGAAATCCAAGATGACGGTCGTGGCCTAAAATACTATATTGACTTTTTAAGAAGTATCTATCTTTGCAATCATGATATGTGTTCATTCCCTGTTCATTTTCAAAATCGCCTCACCCTCAGCTAATATATGGGTGCGCTCCTTAATACTGATGTGTTGAAACTGCTCGTCTTAAAGATTCTCGACACTTCTAGTAGTATAATAACTAACAATATTCATAGTTTGATTTTGAATTATCATATCTATTAATTTTTTATACGTGTATATGAAAGTTTTGTGAGTGACATTGTAGTCAAAAGTTTCAACGATGTAGGAATTGGCGAGTTATTTTTTTTCACCGACCTGCGGTTGATTCTTATTTGAGGTCATCAACTCAGTCATCGATTTACGGTAATTTACTATCTCTAACGGTTTAACTTTGTCAAAATAAATCTTGCACAGTTTTGTCAAAGATAAAATTGAACGCCTTGTAATTAATGGATGAACTTTTTCTGTTGCAGGTACGTACTGAACTTCCCTTTTATATGTGCTACTTTCTTTTTTCTCCTCCATCCGAAGTCATCGTGGCCGCACGGTAAACATTCCGTTTTTTTCAAACTTTATTTTTTCTCCTTTCAGACGACATTATCAGCTTTTGTGAACTCCGCTGATTCTTTTTGAACGCGCGAATCATGTGACCGAACTTTACGTTCATCTAACTTGAGTTCCTCTTTTCAATTCGATTTTGTCCGAAAGTTCGATTACATTTATAACCGAACATTTGATCCGACAAAACGGAATGCCTTTTTGACAAGCCCAATAGCTCGATCGATATCGAACACCGAACAGCGGTTCATATGATCATTTTTTCTCTTCTTTTTTCCTGTGTAATATAAAAAAACTGAAAATCGACATATCTGTCCTCCAATAAGAAAAATTTTCTTTTTGCCCTCAGAAAATTCTCCTGCAGTCAGACAGTTTCGCTCTGGAACATCCTGTCTGAGCATTCTAACGAATGCTGCTCCAAACGCACCAAACTTTTTTCAGCGTTTCGTAAATCTGCCACTCCAAGGGACCCGATTTCCCCGCTAAAACTTCGGGAAGGAAACAGATAACAATATATTTTGAAGACCCTGTACGAAGAATATGAGCATTGTAATCGAGTAAGGCAACAGTTAAATTCGATGTTGACGCTATTTTTCGCATAATGATGGTTGATGGCCAACATTCGTTGTCCAAAAATTACACTGGATTTTTTTGGTTCTGCCGATAAAATTCGGTGTTTTCAAACAGATTCAACCAACAATTTCTCTGAAAAAAATAAAATGGCGTCGAGAATTTTTAAATGTCGCATGGCGCTTGTAGTACTTTGGCCGAACGGTGACGTAATATCGTCTGGCTCTGGGACTAAAATTACACCAATTTGAGTGTTGACTCCCAAAAGTAGCTTTTACAGCGTAGCAAAGATAGCAGTGCGCAGTGCGGGGTGTATGAAATATCGTCACCTTATCCGGCTGAAGTATCACAAGCGCCATTCGTCGTTAAAAAATCTCCGCCGCAATTTTATTTTTTTTACAGAGAAACTGTTCCACGAAGCCGTCCAAAAATTTCACTGAATTTTCTTCGTACTGCCATAAAATTCAGTGAAATTTCCGAACTGATCCAAGCAACAATTTCTCTGTAAACAAATAAACTGGCGCCCGGCGGAAATTTTGAAACGTCGCATGGCGCTTGTGATACTTTGGCCGGATGGTGACGGTGTAACGCTTTTGTCACTAATTATCATCTGGCTCTCGGACTAAAATTCGACTAATTTGAGCGTTGACTCCGAAAAGTAGCTTTTACAGCGTAGCAAAGATGGCAGTGCGGGGTCTGTGAAATATATTGTCTTTGGGCGGAGCAATAGGATCGAGTCCAGGGAAAGCGGACGGGCGGGCGCGGGCCGCAATCCGAGCCGGTGCCGGTGGTCACTCGGCGAGTCGCAAATAAACCCGCCCGGATACTCGGTGAGCCGTGCCGTCGAGTTCATCCACCGCCGGGCGGGGGGCGATCGGGGGCAGGGGCGCCCGTTCGGGGGCGCTCGGGCGCCTTCGAGACGTCCCGGCGAGCCGAGGGTAGCATCCACCCGGCCGCCTCAGTCTACCCGTTCGCGGCGCGACGCGTTCACGTCCCCCGCCACGCGCCCAGTTCGCCGACCCGTCCGGAGTGCGTCTCGCCCCTCTTCTACGCTTCTTGCGAGTTTTTCGAGTGAGTTTCGTCCGGTGGAGGATTTCAAGTGTGGGGTTTTGGTATCGTCGAATGGGAGCAGGGTGGCCGCAAGTAGGAGACCCGGGGAAATGATGTGGCCGTAGACACCGGCAAGAGACGGAGTAAATGAGTGGATCGAGAATTTCTCCGAGGCCACAGGTACAGGGTGTACATTTTTCGTAGAAGAAAATCTTGAAATTTCAAGTGAAATATATTTCATCAGGCATTTATGATAGGTTTTGAAAAAAATGTCACAAATGGAGATTTTTAACCCCCAGTTGAAGGAGATTTAAACCACAGCTGACACTGTTCGGATGTATGCATGCATGTTGTTTGCTCTTCATATTTCGCGAGTGCAAAAATTGTCACTGTTTTGCGCAATGGGTTTGCTATATGACTGCGAGTTACATACCCTCCTGAAATATAGTAAATATTTCCTAGCCTTGTGAATTCCAAAAAATGATTTTACAGCCTTGTGAATTTCAAAAAATATTTCACTAAAACTTCAAATTTTTCATCTTTTTTATTCCATTGCCTTCCACCCTGTACCGGAAATCAAAGAAGACTAAGGACAATGCCTCCGTGACACTAGAGAAGAGAAGCGAAAACGAGAAAGACCAATTCCCAGGAATGATCCAGAAACTAGGGGGGGGGGGGGGATTTAATCACAATTGTTCGAAAATATATGGTATAATGCGACTTATTTTTCCATAACATTTTACCGGAATGAAGACTTCCTACATGGCGCATCACCCTGTATATCAAGATTATATGGGGGAGAGGCATTCTTAGGCTTACCACCCACACAAAAATTAAGCAATATTATGGAAATTAACTTGATTAATTAATTATAACTTGATTTATCGTGTAATAGTCAGGAGTGTTGTATATTATTGCGGCCACCTTGCTAAATTTTGATGTAAACCAACAGAGATATCTCAGTTTCGTTATTGTCCCTGGTGTAGCTAAGTTGAGTAGTGGTCGTAAGACGATACCTTTTCAGTGCTGTTCATATTGCACTTTTGGAATGTATTTATAACAATATTTTTGAATATTTTTGTGCGCGTGAGATATTTGGCTACAATTTCTCATAATTGGTCCCATCGGCGCTAAAGGAAAAGTGTCGATTGAAAACATTTTGATCCCAGGATTAAATCTAAACTCAAAGGGTACTTTCTGACTTCTTCCCACCCTCATATTTATGCAATTTGTCTCAAGTGTATCGGACAGTTGTTTTCAGTTTCGGAATTCGCTATTCATAATCACTTCTTATTCTTGATTCAGATCGAGATATCTTTTATTTCAATAAGTTGTCCCCACCACGGCAATCAGTCGGATACCTTCGATGCTGATTTTTTGGAGCAGTGAACTCACCGTGCATCTTGGCAGCATTCTGAAAATGTTAGCCAGTGAAAAGTGATAATTAATCGTATTTTTTGCCTGTATTTGTAATTTTTAAGACCCGACGGTTTTTCTCACAATAATCGAAACAACATAGTGATAAAGTATTGTTTATCGCGAAGTGTTCGCAATTAATCGGTTTTATCGGTGTGATTATGTGCGTTGGAGTACGACATCGTGTCAGAACAACGACTTGCTAAGGATTTCTCCAACGGCAGAGCGTATTTAACAGGTTTTCCTCCCTTCCCTATTAGAGTTGGAGAATTGCATTTGAATGATCAATCAATCTATATAATGACTTTTAATATCTTGAGTTACTATATTTTAAAATGTGTTAATCCTCTGTCAAGGTATCTTGATGCCAGGATTGATAAGCACACGTTTTGAGGTTTATGTTCGATTTTGACAGGAGAGTAGGTAATGGAAGGCACGTCAATAAATTATTATCATTTTTCAACAAGGACTCTCTTCAAAAACAAAATTCAGAATGGAACGTTTTCTAAAATGTTTGCGTTGTTAGGCACAAGAAGTAGTTGGTGTACATCAAAACGAGAATTTTCTGTTTCTTTTCGGTTTATTTCCTCTGGAGTTTTCATTCGGCGGGATGTCTGATTCGACTGAAGACTGAATGATACTCGTCGAAGTATAATATTAACTCATAAGAGTAACGCATAACGCCTGAGACGCGAAGTTTGTATTTTTTGATATCTAACTTTTAAGTAGAAAAAGAAATATTGAGTATTTTAAGCAGGTACGGGTGAGGTATGTTTCTTCAGAAATGAAATGGTGATTGCCAAACTTCTTTATGAAATTCCGCGGTGTCGTTCGGGGGGGGCCGGAGAAGGGGCACTCGCCCCTCTCTCTGCATTTTTAAGTTGCCCCTTCTTAAAGATTGGGTACATTTATTGAAAGATGTAAGGGCATTTTAGGAGATTCGTTGAAGTCCCTCCCCCAAAATAAAGTGTGCTTCCACGGGACAACTTTTGCCTCTCCAGTTCTCCTTGAGATTCAGCCGAAAGACACCTCTAAGAAAGGCGGAGTCAGAGATTCTCCACCCAGTAGCCCCACGAATCCCGAAACGTTAACGTTGAAAAGTCAGGCACTTGAATAGTTTCGTAGTTTCAGCATCCTTCAACGGGACCAACAGCTTTCCACGATCAAATCTAAGCTGGAGCACAGTGGACCGAGTCAATAGGAGAGGTCGGACAAAATTTGGAAACTTCAAAAGCTTACACCTCCGTGTATACAAAACTTCGAAGTTCTAAAAGTGGTATTATTGATCTCCTCGTGAAATGGAGATGTTGCATGTGTGAGGAATTTGCGATTTGACTATTGATACTCAGGTAAAAGTTCGCGAGAAACACGATGGTGCCACTGGTTTTCTCTGAAATCAACTCCCAAGCTCAAAAAAAGCTCTCAAGTTGAGGCCAAAATGGAGAGGATATCCCACGCTATCCTGAGAGTCCACCTTTACATCAAGACAAACTCCCCATGTAAAGATAGGGAGCAAATATATTGACAGGGCTGCCACTTTATTTGGGGACTCCAAAACTGAAAAAACGGCAACCCTGCTAATGTATTCGCTCCCTATCTTCGCATGGAGAGTTTGTCTTTATGTAGACGTGGACTCTCAGGGTAGGGTGGGACATCCCCTCCATTTTGGCCTCAACTCGAGAGCTTTTTTTGAGCTTGGGAGTTGATTTCAGAGAAAACCAGTGGCACTATCGTGTTTCTCGCGAGCTTTTACATAAGAATCACTAGTCAAGTCGTAAATTCCTCACACATGCAACATCTACATTTCACGAGGAAACCAATAAAACCACTTTTAGAACCTCGAAGTTTCATATAAACGGAGCGATAAGCTTTTGAAGTTTCCAAATTTTGTCCGAACCCTCCTCATTGACTCGGTCGACCGTGCTCCAGCTTAGATTTGATCGCGAACTTTTACATAAGAATTAATAGTCAAATCGCAAATTTCTTACACATGTAACATCTCTATTTTCTTCCAGAAGCAACCCCTAAAATTTAAAATGTGACAAACGAAACATCAAAATTTGCAGATTCAGTAAAAACTTTCATTTCCGACCTCTCTGATTGACTCGATCTACTTACTGTGCGGCGTGCCGAAAATTTTCACTTTTCAAGCTTTGGGTCCAACTTATGACAGGGTACCCGCATGGGGCGACGAGACCGTGCTTGCGGCGAATCCACATGCCCGGAACGTGGGAAAGGATTTCGGGTCGTCCCCCCCTAAGACGGATAATCTACTCCGAGTCACGTGCCACCCTCATTAATTCAAATTGCTCCCCGGAAGCTTAACGGTGAAAGCTCATCGGTAGACTCCACTCAACCCTCCTTTCTCCGCGCCCGCCGATGAAGTGTCCTAACCGATCGATTAAAATAATCGTGCATTGTGTTTATAAACTCCTCCGTGCAGCCAGCTGGAACACATTCCACAGAGTGGCTTTGTATGCAGGGAGTGTGGTCAGGAGGACCCGTTCTTATGGACTCGTTGCATGATTCCGGGGTTTCTGGTAGTATGGAAAATCGGAAAAGTTAGGGAGTACCGGGACCAGGAGAAGTCGAGGAGAGTTTGATATTTCGATTGAAAAGACGGTTAATTTTCGAGGAGCGCGTATGCTAGACTATTCTGCCGTGCTAAAGAAGAACGCCGTATGAGCCATTATGTGTTGCCATATTTTTTCGATAAAAAACGTTTGTATTAGGAAAATTAAGAATATCTTTTTTTCCAAAGCTTTCGGACAGTTTTTACGCAATTTTGTCTAAAATAGCTGAAAATTTCAAGAAAAAAATATGCACATTTTTTCTTAAAAACACATTTTTTATCCGTGGAACGTGGCAACTCTCGAATTTTCATAAGGCGTTCTTCCTTAGCAAGGTATTTTCGCAGTCAGTGTCATTCGAGAGCATGAGCGGCTTCTAAAAGTGCCTCTCTCCTTGATTTTAATCGCCAGAAGTCAAGGAATTCCCTACGAACAGTCAGGGAAATGCCCGGGAATTTCTTGGTATTTTAAAATCTTAGAATGTTTGTCGTGTCGTAGAGTGGGGTGAGGAAGGAAAGGTTGGAGGAATTTAATTTATCTCCAAGTTTTAATTAATTCTTTTTTATCAGTTGATCCGTCCATCGCGGAACGCGCACGGGCGCCTCCAAACCTAAAGGGATACATCACGCATTGCGCAATGCTTGAAGTATCCCTTTAGGTTTGTAGGCGCTAGCCGGCCGCCTGCCGCGCAGCTGCGCCGCGCGTCATTTCTAAAAGGACCCAACCCGGGTTTTTTCTATAATTTTCATTTTTTTTTTTCATATAAACACTCCTTTTTCGGCTGTTACGCAATTCTTATCGTCTCCTGAAAAATGTCATTTTTCCGAGTCGGGTCGTTTTCGAACCAAGAGATTTAACGATCAGTCATTTTATGGAATTTCAAGCCGATATGCTCATACTCTTTTTCCCTAGGGAAGTCCGTCATCGGCTGACAGCCAGTGGCGGAAGCTATGGTAAAGAATCAATTATTAATGTGTGCAATTCGAAATCCTTGTGTACCGATCCTTTTCCATAGGTTTAAATGCCAGATCAATCGATGTATCGCAAAAAACGCCACGCCACTGCTGAAAGCTCTACCAACTTGCCAATCCCTCACCAAACGGCACGGTTGTGCACTTGAGACTTTATTCGACGGTTGAAATACGTCTCAGAATGATAGGAGGGGAATCGAGTGGAAAGGACGTGAGTCGCATTCCGAAACCTGTAATCCTATTATTTTTCGCGGCATTGTATCCGTTTTTAGATAGATCACTGACGTATAAAGGCTTTAAGGAGAACCGTGATTCGCGGTCCAGCGAGGTGTTGACTGTTGGTTGTTGTCTTAACAGAGAGCGGTCAACCAATACCACCTACCCATACCTTCCACCGCAGAAGGAGGTTAGGAATCGGTGGTAAAGAACAAAATACATGGCATCTTATGGGGACGGCTGAAACGAATGAATTATCGTAATGAAAATTACGTGCAAAAGTTTCACCACAACTTCAAATTCAAACGCGTGCATGAAAATGAAGGACTTAAAATCATTAAAATTACGTAAAAGAAAAACAAAACTTCACTTAACTGGAAGCTGGCCCATGTGAGAAAGTCTGACTTTAATTATGATTTGGATGCTTGATTTACTTAAATTTCTTACGATACTCTCATTTAAGACGATTAACTACTGCAATAAACACTTACCTCTGCACAGAACGAGTATTTCCAAAAAAATTACTTTCATCTTAACATTGGAAGAATAGCCGTTACTCTTTACCGAGGATACCTAACCTCCTAGCTTATTTTTTGGCGGTGAAAGGTATGGGTAGGTGGTATTGGGTCAACCCTCACCTGTGAGACTCACCAAGTCACCACTGTCACCTCTTTGCTAAACGTCCTCAGTGGCGTGGCGTGGATTGCGATGTATCGATTGTCCTGTCATTAAACCCACGGTAAAGAATCGATTATCAAGGTGTTCGCTGCGAACACCCTGTTTATCGATCCTTCTCCATACGTTTAAATGGCATAACAATCGACACATCGCAAAGCACGTCACGCCATACTGATGTCCATCTCTCTAAAACTCCAGCCAAAGGAGCGTGTATTGGCTTTCAAGCTTTGAACTTTCACCTCATGTATGGATCTTGAATATAAGAGCGTTCTTTTACGCAAAATATACAATCAAGTGATGATAAGTAGATTTTGTATGTGTTGAATTATGTTGAGCATATTCGAAGTGTCTGAAATACTTGCCAGAACGCACGATTTGAGTGGTTCGTATTTGGCATTTTTATATTTCCCGCGTCAATGGGCTTTTTCCACTCTTCTGCCGTCCACAGCAAAAACTCCGTAACTCCAAATAAGGATTCGCATTTTCTATCCGCACGTGCTGCTCTTTTACACGATTACCTTATCAACATCATGCTTCATTTTGTCAGTTAGAGTTCTCAGTGGTATGACACAGTTGTTCTAGAGTTATGAGAGATAAATAATCGTGGGGTTATTTATGCAATAAACCCTCTGGTCAGAAAAAAATTGAAAAACATGTAGAACGGAGTCGCTGCGATTTTGCTACGGTTGGCAGCACGATAGCGATAGCTGAACATCAACTTCGCCCCGAAACAATTATGGTTACCTAACCAAATTGAACATTACCTATCTCGTAAGTTAGCTGTAAGATTTCAGTGGTCTTTA